AGTATTTTAATACCTAGCTGACAATTTGAAATATGATACCTAATGAAATATACTGTATTTTAAGGCCTTTTAGAAGTATGTATTTTTTCAGACGTGGAATACAAATATAAATCATGTTAAATTCAAATGCATTTGTTTAATACCTATTGTCCTGTCTTTAAATCTGTTGTTACATTTTTTTCTTCTTTCTAAAGAAACTAAAGGAGAATGTAGCTCAGGGTTGGTGCTCTCTGAGCTTGCTTGTTTTCTTACAGACGTTTCATTACCCATACTAGGTAACATCATCAGTGCTAAAAAGGAGTGCTGTTTGCTATTAGTTTATGTTCTTGTGGCTTGGTCAAGGATAGTTACATTTTTCCAGCTGAAACTATGGTTAGATTTGTTTTTATGTTGTGAAATTAAAGAATTTTCATCGTGTCTTCTGAAAACATGATGAAAATTCTTTAATTTCACAACATATATATTGGGAAAATGTGACATCCTAGACCAGTGGTTCTCAACCTTTTTAATGCCGCGACCCCCAACCGGTCGTAAGTCGAGGACTACTCAACCGGCCGTAAGTTGAGGACTACTCAACTGGTGCAGCACTGTTTGCAGAATGGGACTTTTGGCGGGCTCAGCAGGGCAGAGACAGCCTGGACAATTCCTATTGGCTTTTGAAAGCCAATAGAATTAGACTCTATTCAAGAGAGTCTATTCTATTGGCTTTCAAAAGCCAATAGAATAAAAGGAAGTAGCATAGCTAAGGAAAAGGGGGAAAAAATGGCGGACTGCGTTGTTTGGCAACCCCCGTGAAATGGTCGTTCAATCCCAAATGGGGTCCCGACCCACAGGTTGAGAACCACTGTCCTAGACTAAGCCAAGACCAAAAACGCCAGGGAATTCCTAGAAGCCTGGCACTCTGACCAATCAGCCATCAATAAACACATAGACTTTAACAACATCTATAGACTATGAAAAAGAGACTAACACCCAGTCCAAAAAGGAACAAAAAGACCCAAGCATCTTTCCACCAGCAAATTAGCATAGATTAAGTCCAAGGTTAACATCAGACCAACAATCAAGTAAACAATACCCGAATCAAGAAATTGGCAAAGAAGGCAACAGCAAATAGCCTAATCAAAGAATTTCTAAGACCACCCCCACCAATACTGACAGGAGAGCCACTAGAATATACAGTAAATTGACAGCAAACAGCACTCCTTACTAGCACTGATGATGTTACCTAGTGTGAGTAATGGAATATTGGCAAGAAAACAAGGAAGCCCAGAAAGCACCAAGGATCTCTTCTAAAGAAACTGACTAGCAGAAAGCAGACCAAAATTGGCTTTAATTTACTGGAGCATTGCAAAAAAAATTTGCAGTGAAAAAGGGAAGCTGACTTTTGGCTGACTCAGGATTACTATATCGCAAATCTTTCTCCTAAGTTGTTTTTCCTTGTTTAGCTGCAATTTATTTTTGATAGAAAGTAACAAGCAACAGATTTTGCAGCATGTTTTAAAAATGTACGTTATACACATTGGAGTTATGAAAAGAAGTATACACGTGTCCAAAAAAGGGGGGGGGAGTCCAATTCACAAGGACTAATGCGACAAACTCTGTGATGACAGCATAATCTATCATTGTTTTAATTTTTCCCAAATGTCCTCATAGAAGCATGTCAGTTTCCTGGTATTCTGAGCAACTGACGATACTAAAATAAAAATACGTATTAGGCTATAAATGTCTGGGGAATTGCAAAATATGACAAAACATGTAAGAATCCTTATATACTCTAATCCCTTGGTGGTTGTGCAAGCAATAAATCTTTATAAGATCATTCTTGTCCACAATTTAAATGATGGTTAAAATAATTAGATGGAAGGGCATAAAAATGTTGTCTTTTTCATATATTTCAAATGAATTCCCAATGTTCCAAAGATGTTATTCTCCCCCAAAAAATCACAACTGTGTTTAAATCGTTTCCATTTTCAGAGTATAATCAGGCATTTTTTCTAGCAGGAAAGGATATGACTATAATAAAATCACTTTATGAGACATATTATGTCTAGAGATGCATAAATTATATGGATTATTCATCCCAAAGTAATATAATTAATAATTTCAGAATTTTTGTGGAGTGTCACAGAAAAATAGAAAGATCTAAAGCAAAGCCCATTTTGGAAAATACAATAATAACTTTTTTTTTAAGTGTTTAACTTTATTTGGCACACATAATAAAAAAACCTGCACTAGCAATTTTTTTAATGCTATTAGTTTTCTGCTCAAGCCTTTATTCTACAATTGTCATAGATTTCAAAAGGGAAATTTTGTATAGCATTCATTTTAGAAATGTGCTGTTTGTTGATTTAATGTTTTGATATCAGACTGAAAAAAAATCTTCATTTCTACAGGCAATACTGTGTTTTAATTAAATTGAAAAGATCTATTTATCTTTATATAATAATATCTATATATATATCTATCTGTCTGAGGAAGCTTTGCAAATAGCTGAGGAAAGAAGGGAAGTGAAAGGCAAAGGAGAAAGAGAAAGATACACCCAATTGAATGCAGAATTCCAGAAAATAGCTAGAAGAGATAAGAATGCCTTCTTAAATGAACAGTGCAAAGAAATAGAAGAAAACAACAGAATAGGGAGGACCAGAGATCTCTTCAAGAAAATTGGAGATATGAAGGGAACGTTTCATGCAAAGATGGGCATGATAAAGGACCAAAATGGCAGAGACCTAACAGAGGCAGAAGAGATTAAGAAGAGATGGCAAAACTACACAGAAGAACTATACAAGAATGAGCTTAACATCCCAGATAACCACAATGAGATGATCACTGACCTCGAACCAGACATCCTAGAATGTGAAGTGAAATGGGCCTTAGAAAATCTGAGCAACAACAAAGCTAGTGGAGGTGACAGTATTCCAGCTGAGCTATTCAAAATCTTAAAAGACGATGCAGTAAAAGTGCTACACTCAATTTGCCAGCAAATTTGGAAAACTCAACAGTGGCCACAGAATTGGAAAAGGTCAGTTTACATTCCAATTCCAAAGAAAGGCAATGCCAAAGAATGTTCAAACTATCGCACCATTGCACTCATTTCACATGCTAGTAAAGTTATGCTTAAAATCCTACAAGCTAGACTCCAGCAGTATGTGGATTGAGAACTACCAGAAGTACAGGCAGGATTTCAAAGAGGCAGAGGAACTAGAGATCAAATTGCCAACATACGCTGGATCATGGAGAAAGCTAGGGAGTTCCAGAAAAACATCTACTTCTGCTTCATTGACTATGCAAAAGCCTTTGATTGTGTGGATCACAACAAATTGTGGCAAGTTCTTAAAGAGATGGGAGTACCAGACCATCTCATTTGTCTCTTGAGAAACCTATATGCGGGTCAAGAAGCAACAGTGAGAACTGGACACGGAACCACTGATTGGTTCAAAATTGGAAAAGGAGTCCAGCAAGGCTGTATACTGTCGCCCTGCCTATTTAACTTATATGCAGAGCACATCATGAGAAAGGCAGGGCTAGATGAATCAAAAGTTGGAATTAAGATTTCAGGGAGAAATATCAACAACCTAAGATATGCAGATGATACCACTCTAATGGCAGAAAGTGAAGAGGAACTAAAGAGCCTCTTGATGCGGGTGAAGAAGGAGAGTGCAAAAGTTGGCTTGAAACTCAACATTAAGAAAACCAAAATCATGGCATCCGGCCCTCTCAATTCCTGGCAAATAGATGGGGAAGAAATGGAGGTAGTGACAGATTTTATTTTTCTGGGCTCCAAGATCACCTCAGATGGGGATTGCAGCCAAGAAATTAAACGACGCTTGCTCCTGGGGAGGAAAGCTATGGCAAATCTAGACAGTATACTAAAAAGCAGAGACATCACCCTGCCAACAAAAGTGCGTATAGTCCAGGCCATGGTTTTCCCAGTTGCAATGTATGGCTGTGAAAGTTGGACCATAAGAAAGGCTGAGCGCAAAAGAATTGAGGCCTTTGAACTATGGTGCTGGAGAAGACTCCTGCGAGTCCCTTGGACTGCAAGGCGTTCAAACCGGTCAGTCCTAGAAGAGATCAACCCCGACTGCTCTTTAGAAGGCCAGATCCTGAAGTTGAAACTCAAATACTTTGGCCACCTAATGAGAAGGAAGGAATCACTGGAGAAGGGCCTAATGCTGGGAAAGATTGAGGGCAATAGAAGAAAGGGACGACAGAGAATGAGATGGCTGGATGGAGTCACTGAAGCAGTAGGTATGAACTTAAATGGACTCCAGAAGATGGTGGAGGACAGGAAGACCTGGAGGAACGTTGTCCATGGGGTCGCGATAGGTCGGACACAACTTCGCAATTAACAACAACAACAGAATAATAAAATCTCAAATATACTTGTGTTACCCATTAAATGAGTGCTGCCATTAGAATCATATCCTGGAAATACATTACTAATGTTTACATTATATTCAGCACCATAAATTCTAACACCCTGCTCTTGCAGCTATAATTCTTCAGAGATGGGATACCACAAATACTAATAAAGGGCATTTTGGTTTGACACAAAATGGGAGGTCAAAAGAGACAGTAGAAATTCTGGAACATATTTATATTTATAAAGTCAAACTGAGGGTCTGTAAACAAAACAGTTTGCAAATTGAAAGATGTTCTTACAAATAACGACAAAGATTTTCACTGAATTGTTATCCCACAATTTAGTCAAAAAGAAAAAAGAATGAAAAGGAAAAAGAATGAGTTATTTTAAGGAGGAATGTATTGGACATCTATTTGTATCATTATTAATACAAAATAGTTTAATATGTCTCAGATGTTTTTTACAATTTCCTAATTAAAGACTATACACCTTTCAAACTGTTTAGTTGCCAAGCATGTGATTATACTGATCTAAACTCCAAAAAGGAGCATGAGTTATAGAAAAGAAAACATAACCACATCTTTTGCACAATCTCTGAGAGTCAGCTAGCAATTCTCTTTTGCACTAGGAGACAAACCTGCATTCTTCAAAATCCTCAGATAAGTCCTCATAAAACGCAGGATGTTTCCGAGCAGCCACAGTCACAGAAGTTCCTGTCTCAGCAGGGGTTCCATTTCCTGTAACTGTAAAAAGATCTCTGCCTGTGCTTTCCTCCGAACCACTGTCCTCCTTACTTGTTCTGCCTTGCCTAATGTAAGCTGAGGGATCTGGATTCTGACGGCTACTCTGGTGTTTTCCAGATCGTCTCAAGGAATTTGGTTCCACAGAAGACACAGAAGATAATGAGAGGGAGTTTTCTTTATAACTTCCAATCTTCCTCCTAGGATTATTTAAATTATAATTTCCAGGCTCTGACTTCTTTTCCCCACTCATTCCCATAGTAGTAAGTTCAGTAGCATTCTTATTGCAACGCTCATCTGTAGAAACATCTGAAGGGTTCTGTCTTCTCATTTTCCTAACCATTTTGGCTCTATCTCTTTTTCTAACTAAGGCCCAATAATTTTCATCTGACGTTGAAGAATCGGATGTTGCTTTGCAAAAGGCATTCCATCGAGGATTTGTGATCTTGGGATGTGACTTGACATCCTTGTCTTTTCTTTGCTTTATTATATCCTCAGAATTCTCCTCAGCCTTCTTTCTCTGCCTAACACCTTGTTTCACCTTTTTTACATGCTTTTTCCTAGCAGAACTTAGCCCCATGACATGGATTGACGTTTCAAACATATCTTCTGATAGGTCATGCAAAGTAGAAGATCTAAAGAGAGCAAGAGGACAAGGAGATGGATAGAAAGTGATAAAATGTGAGGGGAAGGGGAGACAGAGAGAAAGAGAGAGAAAGAGAATATAAATAAAACTGAATAGAATCAAATGGAAAATGAACATGATATTGAAAATGACAAACAAAAGAAAAGATGGATGGAAATATATGAAAGAAATTAGACAAAAGGGATATCCATAGCTTATTAGAGAAAGAAGACACGCATTAAACAGATTAGGAATATTAATTTAGCACATACCTACAGATATCCTGAGTAGATGGGCAGACAGATAACCGTGATTGGCTCCCGGGAGCTGTCCCTGTGGTAGGACTGCTTGCCTGTTGAAAGAAGTTACATAAATTGGATTCTTTGTCCACAAAATAAAACATAGATATTTTATTACTTTTCCACATGATTTTATATATATTTCAAGCTCTTCACTCTGCTTTCATAGAGGCATGGTTTGTAAAACAAGGAAATTGCTATTAAAGCAAAACCCTTTTGAGGAAGTAAATGCTGCAAATCACATGCATATTTCATTTTATTTTTGAGGAACAAACTTTCAGAAACTATTTTCATTTGGCTTCACTTGTGAATATGTAAAGAAAAAGCAGCTGCTAAAGTTAAAAATGATACTTTTTAAAATTAAGACAAATTGTACTAACTTTGTTCTAACTGACTCCTGCGTGGAAAAAAATACTATTAAAAAAATGAGAATGAAAAAAATTATCCTGTGGTTCAAATATAATTGTCAGCCTTTTGAAATTATTTAAAATTCAGATTGTTTCTTGAAATCATATATAAATAAAATGAGTGTCTTATTGCATTCAGCTCCCCACCACCACCATAGTGATATAGCAATAGTGACTGGGTATTTCTAGTCTAATGAAAAGAAGGACTAGGAGTGACATGATAGCAGCATTCCAATATTTGAGGGGCTTCCACAAACAAGAGGGGGTCAACTTATTTTCCAAGGCATCAGAAGGCAAGACAAGAAGCAATGGATAGAAACTAACCAAGGAGACAAGTAACCTAGAACTAAGAAAAAATTTCCTGATAATCAACCAGTGGAATGTCTTGTCTTCAGAAGTTGTGAGTATTCCATCACTGGAGGTTTTTAAGAAGAGACTTTTAATTTTTTATTGGAACAGAACACAGTTTCACACTTTTACAACACACTTTTACAAGCTTAGTTCTAATATTTTGAAAAGTACTGAAAATATTACACTTCTTATTTTCAAAGTTTTTATACTAATAGTTTGCACTGAATGGCTAAATGGACAGAACAAACTAAGAGATGAACAAACCATAAGATTCAGAAAAACTATTTGAATTTTATTATTTAAATTTTCAATTATTTTTTTCTTAATCTTATGTTCCCGAAGAAACAATAAAACATCTTCTACAAAACAAAGAAAGAATTCACCAAAATTTCTTGGCAGTGATTGATAACAGCATCCCAAGCCAGGAACTCTACTCTAATTTTAGCACCTGTTAGCCTTCCACTCTTTGCCTCATATAGGAAGAACATTTTAGAGCACGGGTGTCAAACTCGCCATGTCATGTGATGTGTCATGACGTATCGTGACTTTTTTAGCATTGCCAGGCCGGCAGTTTGATACCCCTGTTTTAGAGGGGGCGTTGTCTTACCTGAACGTCTTTTCTCAGCATGATGATGTAGCATCCACCGGTGGGTAATTTCAGCCTTCCTGCTCAGATGAGACTAAGACAGAACTTCAGCCACACCTCCTTTGGGTGATGCCTTTCCCAGTTTTGACGAGGCGAAGCATCCCTAACAAAGTCTGATGCAATGGCTCCTCCTAAAATTACACTGCCTAGACTGTCTGTTAGGGGTGGGTGTGGATGCTACATCATCATGCTGAGAAAAGGCGTTCAGGTAAGACAACGCCCCTTCTCCAGCACGATAAATGTAGCATCCACCGGTGGGACACACAAAAGCCACCCATGTGCCTACGGGGAGGGAAAGTCTAGGCATGTGTCCCTTGTGAGGAAACTATCTGCTGCAAAACCCTTCTCCCAAATGAGGCATCTGCCGCAGTGAACTTATCAAGATTATAATGCTTTATAAATGAAGAGGGAGATGACCAGGTAGCAGCCCTACAGATCTCCTCAACAGAAGCCTGGGTAGACCAGGCCGCTGATGTGGCCACGCTGCGTGTGGACTGAGCGGTGATGTTCGTAGGCACCGGGAGAGACTGGGATCTATAGGTGTAAGTGATGCAAGCCCTGATCCATCTACCAATGGTTGATGATGACACCCTCCTACCCATGGAAGAGGACTGGAAAGACACAAACAGGGCTTCCGACTTGCGAAAGGTGGCGGTCTGTTTGACATAATGATGCAGAACCCTGCGCACTTCTAATTTATGCCACAGCCTCTCCAGACGATGTGATGGGTTGGGACAAAAGTCTGGAAGAATCAAATCTTGAGCTCTATGGAACCAGGTATTGACTTTTGGAATGAAAGAAGGGTCCAATCTAAGGACCACTCTGTCATCCAGAAACATACCCAGGTCACTTCTGACCGAGAGCACGGCCAATTCCAAAATACATCTTGCCGACGTGATAGCTACCAGAAAGGCAACCTTCAGAGAAAGGAAATAAAGTGAGCAAGACCTGATGGGTTCGAACAGTGACTCCATGAAAGCCTGCAACACTCTTGGTAAGTCCCATGATGGATAGCGATGTACCGCAGGGGGCTTAGCATTGATTGCCCCCTTTAGAAAGGCAGCAACTGCCGGGTGTTGTGATAATGGGACTAGATTGTCACACATGAAGACTGTTAATAATGCGGCAACCTGTCTGCGAATGGTACTATATAAGAGACCTTTATTTAAACCTTCCAAAAGGTAGTTTAATATGTTAGACCGCCAACAGTCTAAGATTTTGTGTAGTAACCACGTGCAGAAATTCTTCCACGTGGCATCATAGATCCTATTGGTCGAGGGCCGCCTTGAGGCTTGGATTATAGAAATCACCCCAGACAAATAGGACTGTCTGGTTAAACTCTCCTGCTCAAGTGCCAAGCGGCTAGTTGAAGCCACTGGGGGTATGGGTGAAGAAGTCTTCCCCGACTGAGGGATATGCGGCCCAGTGGAATCTTCCACGGTGGGGAGAGTGACAAGTCCATGAGGTTGGCAAACCACGGTCATCTTGCCCAGTGTGGGACAACTAAGATAACCTCTGCCTGTTCTTGAAGAAGCTTGCGAATGGTCGCTGGGATCAGGGGAAGAGGAGAAAATGCATAAAGGAGTCCCCTGGGCCACCTGCTGTGGAGGGCATCTGTCCCTTCCGCCCCCGGTGATGGGAACCTCATGAAGTACCTGGGCAGTTGGGAGTTTGCCAGTGAGGCAAACAGGTCCACTTGAAGTTGTCCAAATCTGGCCGAGATTTCCCTGAATAGGGTCGGGTCCAGACGCCACTCCGAGTGGTTGACTGTAACCCTGCTCAGTGAATCGGCTTGACGATTCGCTTCCCCAGATATGTGTTCTGCACTGATAGACCAGGTTGGACTCTGCCCACAGACCCAGGTCCAGGGCCTCCAACATGAGAGACCACCTCTCCTCCCTGCCTGTTGACGTGGGCCTTGGCAGCTACATTGTCCGTCATTATCAGGACATGTTTTCCCACCACTAGGGCAGAGAATTTTTTTTTTTAATATTTTTTTTATTTTTCCAAACTCCCCCCCATACATATACTGTGATATTTATCAGATGTTAACATACATTCTTTTTACATTCACATATAAGATACTTTTGATAAAATGAAATAAATACATACACATGACTTTTGGTGTTGCTCACCCATTTCCCCTTTCACTGTATCCACATTCCTTCTTCTCTACCTTCTTTCTCCCTTTCTTTTCTTCCCTACTTCCCTCTTCTTCCTCTCCTCTTCTCTTTCCTTCACCTCCCCACTTCTCTTCTCCTCCAACCTTCCTACTTCCTTCTCCCCTCCTTTACTCTTTTCTCTCTCCTCTCCTTTCTTCCCTCTCATCCCTCTTCAGATACAATTCAGGGGTAATGTCCGAGCAATTCCTCTCTCCAAATTTCCCTATCTGTATTATATACAATAAGATTAATTTTCTCTTACATTAATACTTCTATTTATCTAACCTTCTCGGTATATACTTCTATAAATATTATATAACCTCCAGTTATTCAATACTGTGTCGCCTGGGTCTCCCTCCTTATCTGCTCCTTCTTCTTCCATCTAAATTGATGTTAACTATTTTTTAACCATATTCTCTTTCCAGCCAATCATAAAAAGTTCCCCAGATTTCATAGTAGTCTGACTCTGTCTTATCTTTAATTGTCATTGTTAGTCTATTCATTTCTGCACATTCCAGTATTTTCCCAATCACCTGTCCCTCTGGGGGGGCTTTCAGTGCTTTCCTATTTTGTGCAAACACAATCCTGGCTGCTATGATTATATGAATAATTAAATATGCTTTCTTTTTATTATATTTCTCTGGTAGAATACCCAACAGGAATATTTCTGGTCTTAGTTCTATATGTTGCTGTATCATCTTTTCTATCCATGTTCTAATTATATTCCAATAAGTTTTAGTTTCTACACATGTCCACCACATATGGTAGAAGGAACCTGGTATCTGATGACATTTCCAACATTTCATAGACCTTCCTTAAACATCTTAGCTAATCTTTCTGGAGACATGTGCCATCTGTAAAACATTTTGTACACATTTTCTTTATATGCAGTCACCATTGTCAATTTATAGTTTCTTTCCCATAGTTGCTGCCATCTATCTAATTCAATTGTGTATCCAAAATTCCTTGTCCATTTTATCATTGTCTCTTTCACTTGTTCCTTCTCTAACTCCATATGTAGTAGATAACTGTACATTTTAATCCATTTTTCTTCCGTTCCTGTGAATATTTCATCTAACTCTGTTGTCCCCAAATTAACACCATCTATTTTAACATCTTTTTCATATATAGATTGTATTTGCATTCTCATGAACCAATCCATCTTTATTCCTTGTTCCTCTAATTGTTGTTTGGTTTTCAACTCCCCCATATCTGTTAGTAAGTCTTTATATTTTATAATGTTTCCCATGTTAAACATATTGGGGTGTATTAGCGCCTCCATAGTTGAGAGCCAATTTGGAATCTTCAAATAATGCTTTCTCTTTACTTTCTCCCAGACCACAAATAAATAATTCCTTATATGGTGTCTCTGGAAATAGCTATGTATTCTGTTTTTTCCATACCATATGAAAACATGCCATCCCAACTGTAGATCATGTCCCTCTAATGTCAATAATCTTGTATTCCTCAGTAAAATCCATTCTCTC